CTCATTTAATTTAGCGTTGACCGTGTAATCTGGATGAATGCAATTTGTGAGTTTGGGACTCACAAACCGAAGTAATTTATTCTAACGTTATGAAATTCAGGGCATTGCATCAACTACAGTAGAGCGTCGGTTATCCGAAGCATTCTAGTCGGAAAATTTAAATTTTCGCTAGTGCTGTGGCGCTGCAATCTTTGGCTACTGCAATATTTTTTGGTTGGTGTGTGTGTTTTAGCTGGCACTTTTTTGTGGTGTTTTTCTGAGGATTGTGTGTCGTGCTGAATCGAACGTTTTTGATACTAAATTAACCTCTAAAGTTTGAGGTTAATTTAGTATCAAAAACGTTCGATTCAGCACGACACACAATCCTCAGAAAAACACCACACAAAAGTGCCAGTGCTGCCTGCTTAAACACACGCATCAACAAAAAAATATTGGAATAGCCAAAGATATAGCCAAAGATTTCAGCGCCACAGCACTAGCGAAAATTTAATTTTACGACTGGAATTCTTTCGGATTACCGACGTTTCGGATAACCGACTCACGGATAAACGACGCTCAACTGTACTTTTCTCCGAAATTCCGGGACAAGCAAAAAACCAAGAAATGTGAAGCCCTATTAACAATACATTGTTATTTTCTCGTTTTTTTCTAATATATATATATGATTGTTTGTTTCATAATTAAAATTATTTTGAACAGTTTCATGAAGAAACTGTTCAAAATAATATTGCAGCAGCGCCGTTTCAAGCTGATAGTGAATTTTTATTTTTATTTTTTCCCTTGGATAATAAAATCCCATGACGTCCTGTACAATATTACCAAGTTTGATAACATTCTGTCCAGTAGTTTTCATTTTATGGCTATTTCAAAGTAGAACTTTAATTATAAATACCCTTAATTTCTTTTCGTCCAATGGTTCTTTTTGTTCCTTAATTTTTTTTCGTCCGATGGTTCTTTTTCTTTAATAGTTTAAAAGACAAAATTCGCCCAAACAGGGACCACCATTTTTATTTCGTGTTTAAGACAATACAATCCTGGCGACCGACCTTCCTTTTTAGGCTACTAGCTGCCAAAACGCTAAAAAGTCCTTTTAAAAAACACAAATTTTCCAATTAAAAAATATATAAAATTTTTCTAAAAAAGGAATTGGTGACATACGAACGTCTTCTTTAAACCATCTAACCATTCGTGGATATAAAGCCGAAACACTCTAAGAAGGTTAGATGATTTAAAGAAGTCGTTCGTATGTCACCAATTTCTCTTTTAGAAAAATTTTATATATTTTTTAATTGGAAAATTTGTGTTTTTTAAAAGGACTTTTTAGCATTTTGGCAGCTAGTAGCCTAAAAAGGAAGGTCGGTCGCCAGGATTGTATTGTCTTAAACACGAAATAAAAATGGTGGTCCCTGTTTGGGCGAATTTTGTCTTTTAAACTATTAAAGAAAAAGAACCATCGGACGAAAAGAAATTAAGGAACAAAAAGAACCATTGGACGAAAAGAAATTAAGGGTATTTATAATTAAAGTTCTACTTTGAAATAGCCATAAAATGAAAACTACTGGACAGAATGTTATCAAACTTGGTAATATTGTACAGGACGTCATGGGATTTTATTATCCAAGGGAAAAAATAAAAATAAAAATTCACTATCAGCTTGAAACGGCGCTGCTGCAATATTATTTT